AGGAGGACCAGGGGTGAATTTTTCGGCGAAAGAAAAAGTTCGTGAAAAGATTCGAAACATTCATGAATCGACTCAGTTTTCGATGCTGATTCCGAATATGTAAAAAAATCAATATACTCCTATGGCAGTTTTCAGGAATCCAGCGTAGTTTTCCAAAGATCCGCTGAAAAACCGATCTTGAGATTTTTTCTCAGCAAAGATTTTGCTTATAAAAATCTGCTCCTGGGTCTTTCCTATCAAATGCTGAAAATCGCACGTCTCTATTTTGTTCCTATCAAAAGTTATTCAAAAAACATCCGACTGCGTTGAATTCTGGCGCCGATAGTAGTACTGACATTAGTCAAAACAGCAAAATAAGAGATGCTGGAAAGAATATTAGTCCAGATGCCGATGTTTGCTGCTTTGTGTAGAACAGGTCGACGATATTTTGTTAAAAATTTCCATGCATCCAACCGAAGTTCCAATGTATTATTTAATAATGCAAACAATGGTGCTAATCTGTTTAAAGAAGAAAAAAATTAGACAGAGAATATATAATCTACTAACGGAAAAGCAGCAACAAATAGTGTGACAAAACCAAATTGAATAGCTATAAATTAAAGAGAATGACAAGCTAATATTAACAAAGTTTTATTTTGTTTTCTTTTACTCATTTCAAGATATTCCGGTAAGAGCATTTGCCAGTCAAATTCATTCAATAAATTGTCTATTTCCCATTGTTTCTTGTTTTTATCGGTGTTTTTACATAGACTTCTACTACGTAAGAAAGGTAAACCATATTCAATTACAGCGTTGATAATTTGTTTGCCAACCATAACTGGCAGTAAAAATCATATTGCTTCCAATATACATAAATGTTATACTTACTGATGAGTAGTTGAACAGACAGTTCAACCATGCAACCAGCAGGGTCACACTAAATGTATTACATGTATTATCAATCTCTAATTTCATCCATTTTCGAAAACAATAGCTATAGATTCAATTTGTAGATGAATAAGCTTTACTGAACACATGCGCACGTTCTTGTCAACGCGAAATTATACTAAGATACGGTTTTCGCGATAACATTGAATACACATCGTTACCTAGATTAATGTAGAAATCATAACACTAATGAGGTTAATCAGATAGTGAATGGGATTAGTCCGTTAAAGGCTACTAATATATCATTTTAGAAATTAGATTAAGATTTCTCTGAAAGTCGATTTTGGGTCAGGTACATGCAAATCGTATGAAATCTTTAGCATATGTTTGGACAGTAATAGAGAGGGTCCAGTAAAAAATACATCTCTGGATTATGATGACTGCATAGAATATTCATCAAATAAAGATTTCGATTCGCCTATTTGACAACCGAAAATTTTCTGTGGTCCTTCATTGTATATATTGACTTTCTGTTTATCTTTTTGAGAGAATAGGTGAGACTGGAAGACCAGTCAGAGTCTTTTTTTAAAGGCTTTTGCTTTTTTAGCTGAGAAAAAGGATTACAGATTTCAAATCCAAAAAACTTCTGTCGGATGTGGGTGTCTGACATATCCTTTCAAACAAAAAAAAAGAGAGTCAATGTGTAGAATGAAGGATCACAGAGAATTTTGGGTTGTCAAATAGGCAACTCTGAACCTTTGTTCGACAACATGAAGAAATTTCATTCATTGGCGAAGTCACAGTACTTAAAGGATTAAGTAGTGGTTATTGTTTTTGCATTGTTTTTAAACTGTCGATTTCGTAAGCTCGAATGACTGGAGACGAAGGGATGGAAAGAAATATTCTTTCTCGCAATCGATGACTCATGATGTTTAGAATGTTATACATCGTGTAGTTTTTATGATCGATTTAAAACTAGTCACTCGAGTGAAGGAACATGAAGAATTGACGTAAACAAGTCGATAAAGAAACCTGTTCATTGAAATCATTCGTTCTTTGTGTACCATACGTAGATGGATAACCATTTGTTCTAAAAAATTTATTACTATTTTTGCCTATTTGTCAACAACCTTACTCACCGTCCTTTGAAAAAAGCAACATAAAATAATGATGAATAAAAATTGACAAATTCAAATATGTAAACCTTGATTGAAAATGCCGCTTCGTATTCTGATTGGTATTTATGTAATTCTGTTTTGTATTCAAGCATAAGAGACAGAAAACAAGATATGAACATTCACTCTTACCATAGTTGGTTATTTTTCGCGCCATATAATAATACAATGGTGACAATATAAGAGAACAAATTAGATTCATGATGGCACTTGTTATCGTGATTATAATCGATGAATATGAACTAACTGATGTATTTTTTAATATATATGCCATTTGAATACGATAGACAATAATAGAGAATATTGTCAGACAGACGATAATTATCTAGATAGTTATATTTATATTAGATATTGATCAAATAATTGTTCGATTTACCATCAATAAAACAACACCGATTGACGTCAAAATTTTTGGAAATTTCTGCCAAATGTTGATATATGATTCCTTTCTCTTTAAAATAAAGATTTTGACACAATGATTACTATCATACAAATGTACTAACTCCAGTTCGTGGATTCACTCGTTTTGATAGAACCTTTTTTTCAAAATCAGCCCGTATCGGTTCATTACATTCTTGGAAATCGATCGAATCCTAATAAAAAAAAATCATCTACAGAAAAATTATTCTCGTTATGAAAGATATACCCATTGGTATTGCATTTCAGATTGACTTCGCTTCCACCATTCTACAAAGCCTCTATTTCAAATAAAGATATTATCAGAAAATCATTCAAATACAGATTCAGTTTATTTACCGTGCCCAGATAGACATCAATATAGCAAATATGACAGTGGCAACATTATCAAATACATAGGAAATCTTAAATTAAGTAACTTAAAACAATTTTAAATCGATATTTAGACTTACTTGTGCATAGGTACAACTATCACTAAGCTTCCAAAATGAACATGTTTTATCACAAAGAGGACACATATCTATATTTTGTCCGAACGATCCACAAATATCGGATCTAAACGAAAATTTTAAACAGCAACAATAATCAAACAGTCATATTAAATAAAATTATAACAGAAAACGAATAGAGGAATGAAATTCTATTATATGCTTGCGTGACATCTTTTCGTGTTTCCCAGTACTCTCTTTTACTGTCAATCATTCTTGCTTCAATTGAACTACAACAAATATACAAAAAAGATTTCACTGAAACCTTTTGATAATCTTACAGCAGGTCTTTTAATCAATCTTTCGACAAAAAAAATGGAAGCCCATGTAAACATAACACTAAGACAAATTCACAAACCTGAGATGCTCTGCTGTGGAGAAACCCAAGGAAATCAGATGCTATCTGTCGGTGTACTTCATTTTTTCATATATCTGGTATCGCAGGTTAAACAAAGCAAGAAGAAAATTTCTTGTATATTCTACTTGTTGACTGCTAAACTTAATTCAGAAACTGCTGTTCCATTTTCCTTACTTTGCATGTCTTTCGTTTTTCTCCTACGACAAGAAAGATGAGAATTAGCTAATACAATAGGATATCCTAGAAGATTCTCTACTCTGTAATCTGGCATACGAAA